AGCTTGGTGGAGTGGCTCGCTTCACAATGGTCAATGTCGACATTTCCCAGACCAGACTTCTGCAGCCTGTCTTTCAGGTCAGTGTTGTCGTCCTGTTTCTCATGAGTCACTCTAACAGAGCCAGAGCCACTCTGACAGGAACCCTGGAACAGTGTGAGATCTTCAACAGCAACACAAGTAGAGACGTCTGCGAGCTTGCTGTTCTTTCTCAGGGTGAGTGGTTTGTCAGAGATGTTGGTGATTTTCATGGGGGTCCAGCCATCTCCCCACAGCGGCGTTACCACTCTCCCCACCATGATGCCCCTGGGCACACACCTAGAGGTTGTAGGCTCCACCATAACTGTGCTCCCAGGTGACTTGGGCACATCACTTGGCAGTCTACCCCATAGCAGGTACTCTTGTTTGGGGAGGAGAGTCACCGCTTGAGTTAACTTCACTGTCCCTACTTTTTCCGGCACATCTTCACCCCTCCATCTCGTGAGGCTTGACATCATTTCCAAGAACTATTCACCATCTGAAGACCCCTTTGTGTTGCTCGAGATAAGTGTCCAATAATTCCTTTCATTTTTCAGCTGATGCAGCACACATTTTAGCATGTTGGTGCCTACTATGATGTCGTCTTTCTGACCAGTGACCACCAGGACTGGGACCATGCACTTCACCCCATACAAACTTAGTTCCATGTCATACATACACTTGGGGCTCACCTGTACTCCTCCACAGCCAACAAGGATGATGCGCTGCGGGAGTTCTTGCTGTTCGGTCAAGACGCTATCCGATAGTAGTCTCTGCTCCGCCTCTTCACTTATCGTGCAGGCCATGGACCCTGTATCGAGGAGCCCTTGCAACTGAGCACGGCCATTCACAGTCACTGGTGCGTGGAACAACTCACTGACTGTGTGAATATTCTGAACAATTACTGTGCACTTATCGGACATTGCTTCACAAACATTGACATACATCTCTTTCAATTCTTCACTTTCTTCAAGGGTTGACGCTTTAACGCTCACACATCCCCTTTCCGTATGTGAGCTATCTAGTTTAAACTGGCTCCGCCTTGCTCAGGTTTAGGCTGTGCTTGTGCTAACTGTGGCTGGGTGTTAATTCTTGGCCGGCGCTGTTGGCACTCTCTCTTCCAGCGGCCTGGCTTGTAACAGCCCATACAGAGGTTCGCCTGTCTACAGTGCGCAGTAGTTGAGTGTTCAGCAGACTGACAGACTCTACATCTATTCTGGACGATGGCCGCTGGCCCCCTTCTAGGTGGCACGACTGCTGCTGTCTGGGCCGTCTGCTCCAGCACACGGTTCAGCAAGCCAATGAGAGACTGGATGCAGGCACTCTCGGTCTGAGGAGAGGATGGGAGCCCCATTGTCTTCGGGTAGCAAGTAAGGTCTGTGGTGTTATTAGCAATGACTGTCTCTGTTGCTGATGTCTGAGCATGTACACCTATGTTCTTTGGCCGGTAAGATTTGGCTTGAGACATTGTTCTGGCCTCTCTCTGACGTTCAACAAGGTGTTCCTGAATCTCATTTGCTGTCCACTTTTCAGCTGTTTTGCACTTTAAGACACTTGCTAGAGCGGGGTCAGGACAGTGTTTCACCAGCATCATTGTGACTTCGTGAGAGGGGTCCTCAATGTTCCGCCCATGCCTTCTCAGACACTCATCCGCGACATCCACGGCCTTATTCAAGCGTATCCAATAGTCCATGGGACTTTCTCCAGCCAAAGGAAGTGTGTTATAGAAGTCTGCTAAAGGCATTGATGAGTAGGTTACCTCACTGAAATGTTGTTTCAGAATATCAAAGACGAGCTTGGAGTTTTCAGCTGGCTGCAGCGATGGCATGCTGCGCAGGGTAACTTTTACAATGTCTCTAGCCTTTCCCATTAGTCTTGACATTATCTCCTGGGAGTACTCTTGTAGGGGGACGCCCCTCTTATTCAGGTAAACACTCATAATTTCTTCCCACTCATGTACTGTATGTTTGTCTGTTCCATCACCCCTGAAGTACGGCGACTCTTTGACATCTGTCTTCATAACTAACTTTACTCCAGTCATGTTCAAGTCAGACTGTCCATATCCTAGGTTCAGGCTAGGTGTAGGAGTAGTTTGGCTATCAGCACTACCAACAGATCTCTGTAGTTGGCTAGCAATGTTCTCCCCTATTTCGTGAGCTAATTGTGTAATGAGATTCCCTAAGTTCGCGGAACTCACATCTGGACTAGACACTGGCTGGCGTGGAGAATGTTCATCTGTGCGCGCGTGAGTGTATGAGAATACAGGACGCCCCACTGAACTAACACCGTTCTCAATGTCTGAGGCATCTCCTAACCTACGCATGTGTGGTGCGGGAGAATACTCGTCAGTGTGCAAGCGTGTGGATGAGAGTACAGGTCTGTCTAGTACACCAGCACCTTTAACCGGCGTGCACTCGACCCTACTCATAAACCTGCCCCTCCCTAGGCTTAGCACCCCAGCATCTCCAAAGCTAAATGGTGTCTACACATCCTTACCATCAGCCATTTTTTTCAAAAGTTGTAATGTGATCAACTATGGTAATCCTATGTGAATTACTAGCACATGCAAATATGGTATGAAAATCACAACGTAAAATGATACTAGTCGAGATAGAGGCAATTTAGAGTTACAATTTACACATTAACATTAGCCCATATACTTGTCAATGTCCCGAAGAAGTTTCTACTCGTCACAGCAACCACCGGCGATCACCCTGGCGATGATCTGAAGTTGAGATATCCGGGTCACGGCACCAATGTAGCCGGCGCGGTCTGCACTTCGCCGACTACTGCGTTGTGTTCTGGTGCACTGAAGACAGGACACTGACTTTCCTCAAGGCACTTTATTTGGCTCAACTGTTAAATTTCAAAGAGAGCAAAATTCAGGATTCTATCATCGAACAGAATCAGCCTCTCTCAATCACGTAGAATGCAGACTCCACATTTAATTACATTCAAAAATCAGAAAAGAAAATACAAAAGAAAATAAACATCACATTATGCTCTGATATATAATGTGTATGTGTCATATTGCGTGTTATCTCTGTTCTCCACTCTGGGCTTTTAGCTCTTACATTAACATTATGCAACATGAAACAAACCATACTTTCAATAGTTAATACATACATTCAGTAATATGCGCGAAGCAACATGTACATGCCTTACATCGGGCTTTTCAGTGCCATTGAACATTAATCAATACAAGAAAACTTTTTAAATGAACACATTATATTCATAACCTGGTATTGGGAGTACATACCTGTTAAATTTCAAAGAGAGCAAAATTCAGGATTCTATCATCGAGCAGAATCAGCCTAACATAAGAAAAAGGGCAAATGAAACGTGGGCTGTGACACAAGAGGATAGAATGACGATCGCTAACATACAACCACAGAACACGAGGTTAGCTATGCTAGCAATTTCTCAAACTCTCAAAACAGCAAAGTTCTCGACACATCTCGATTAAATGTAACTGCACTCATTATAAATTACACATACTAGTTACCATGTGCATTGAAACTAAAGTTTTAACAGATATATCTCAATTTTACATTGCGCTGACGCGAACACATACCTCTCTCAATCACGTAGAATGCAGACTGAGAAAAGAACGCGAAAATTCAGTATGTGACAGTATATGAATTCATCCAATAGAGGGCGCACATACACAACAAATAACTCTCCCAATACCTATAAGCTACCATGACATAACTGAACGATACAGTATTTTGGTGAAATAAACAACCAATAGAAAATAAAAGATAAAAGGTTACAAAAATATTTGTCATTCTTTGACCTGTTACACTAATGTTAGTCTTTCTGTTCATTCCGAAGTTTCCTGTAGTCAGCTGGATCCGGGTTGAATCCAGATCAGATGGTGGACATGCGCCTAGACACGACCCCAACGCATGATGTAGTCAGCTGGATCCGAAACGTATCCAGATCAGTTGGTGGACATGCGCCTAGACATGACCCCAACACATGATGTAGTCAGCTGGATCTGGGCCGTATCCAGATCAGATGGTGGACATGCGCCTAGACACGACCACAACGCATCCCTGAAGTCTCAGCAGAGGTTGTGTCAACTAGACTCTCCTGTGAAGGCCTCATCGACAAGACAGCCATCGGCACTGATCCTCAACAAACCCATCTCCATACCGGCGAGACTCCGACCTTCAACCAGATGGAACTAGATAAATATTCTGAATGTTTTGATCCATTTTGACTTCTGACCTGTAATGCTGGCTGAAGCATAATCATACACTGTTCGTTCGTTGGCCAGAGGAGAACTGGCCCCCGACTGAGCCTGGTTTCTCCCAAGGTTTTTTCTCCATTCTGTCACTTGGAGTTTTGGTTCCTTGCCACTGTCGCCTTTGGCTTTTGGCTTGCTTATTTGGGGATATTTAATATTCAACAATATTATTGATCTGCCTGCATTGACACCATTATATGAGAACTAAGCTGGACGATGACATCAAGGTTTTCTCCAGAGCGGCTATATATACTGTATAAATTAACTAAATTAATAACTTTTTTACAACAAAAATTAAACATCACTGAACTTACATAAGCTGGACTGTGACGCTATTTTCTTCTGGAAACAAACTTTGTTGCATTATTTTCCTGTTATCTCTGTAAAGCTGCTTTGAAACAATCTGTGTAGTAAAAAACGCTATATAAATAAATGCGACTTGACTTGACTTACAGGTTTGCCACTTATGGCTATTTATTATTATTATTTCTTGATTTACTCCTTCTAATTCTTGAACACATGGGCCTGTATGGATGTTAGAAAATAGGGCCAACACTACTGCAAAGATTCTATTAAAGCAGGTATACTATATGTGAACTTGTATTCTTTGTCATACATTAACCTCAAGAACTTAAAATATTAGTCAGGAAAAGATAAATGAATAGCCAGAGACCAGCATCTTCTAATCCTTATTACTATGAGCTCCAGTACTGCTCAAAGTCCAAATGCAGTCTCATACTGACCGCAAACCAGTAATGATAACATCTTTTAAGTTTGTTACTTTGTCCTGTTCATACTGTCCATTTGAAATCAACTCAACGAGATCTAAGTCACAGCCTGCATTTCTCCAAAATGGCAACTGAAAAGGACAGGTCACCTGACGAGCTGAAACTGAAGACTGAAGTAGGGCTGCTGGGTGGAGTGTCTCTCATTGCAGGGGTCATGGTTGGTTCTGGAATCTTCATGTCTCCTCAGTATGTGCTGCTTTATATTGGGAGTCCAGGTGCTAGTCTGTTAATATGGGCTGCTAGTGGATTGTTGGCCATGCTAGCTTCTTTGAGCTACGCTGAATTAGGAACTGTTATTCGTGAGTCTGGAGGAGAGTATATTTACATCTTGCGCACTTCAGGCAATATCATGGCCTTTATATGTGCTTTCACCAATAACATTGTGATGAGACCAACTAGCATGATTGCAGTGGCACTCACCTTTGCCCAAAATACCCTTGCACCTTTCTATGATGATTGCCTACCACCAAATGGAGCAGTGAAATGTTTGGCAGCCCTAGGGATTATGGTATTGACAGTTTTGAACTGCTTGAATGTGCGCTCCTCCATCAGAGTCACAGTGGTATTCATGGCTATGAAGTTGCTGGCACTTATAATAATTGTGATTGGGGGAGTTGTGCTACTTATTCAAGGGGACACCGCCAACAGCCTCCAAAATTCTTTCGATGGGACAAAGCTGAGCATCAGACCCATGGGAATAGCATTTTACCAGTGTTTGTGGTCCTATGATGGCTGGAACACTTTAAACCATGTTACTGAAGAGATCAATCATCCTGAGGTAATTATGTCCTCAATGTTTGCCACACTGACAACAGTAAGTAAGCTGACTTTGATAGTTTTGCACACAAAGTGCCACAAAGAAAAGACATCTATATTAATATAAATAGATCATATTTAAAATGTTCAAAATAAATATACAGTGCATTTTACAAATTAAGGGATAATACGCTGATTTCACGCTGCCGCCATTTTGAAATCGAAAGCGAGGCTCCGGTGGGAAGAACCCCGGAAGTACAGATAGACAACAATGCTTGGACTATACCAACCTGAAGCTGCTGCCGCGATTTACACTATTGGATGTTAATATTCAATATAGGGTATGTATATAGTTCGTTCCTGCTTCTTTTTTTTCCGTTCTGAATTATATATAAAAAAAATGTTTTATTTATAAATGAATTTCACTGTATATAGTCTAAAGTATGAAAGAAATGTATGTTCATTTTTAGAATAACTAATTTCTACATTAAACACAACAATACGCCATCGCATTCGCGACTCTCCTATGATTAAAAGCGACACTTCTGGTTTTCTTCCCACCGGAGCAATTTCAAAATGGCGGCTGCGTGAAATCAGCGTATAAGTATCCTGCTGTGAAACTAGAATTCCATGAAATAATTTACAATGGATCTGTAAGTGCATTTATGTGGTAATATTTGTAAAAGATTTTTATGACTAGCGACTTGCAGGAACATTGGCACATCAATGCAACTTTCTTTTTTTTTTTTTTATGGAGACGGGTTCTAATGATGCGTTTACACTGCTGTGGATAAAGAGGAGCAGAGCGGGCTAACTTTTTTTCACATTTGTCCGACTCTGAATAGACAAATTGCATGCGAAAATTAGACCAAATTCGTGTTGGTGTGAACAGGCCTTTATATATCAGGAGCAGGGTGCATTTATATGCAAAAAAAGATGTATGGGAATAATGTGAACAAAAAAGTTAAACCCATAAAAACCTTCTCATACTGTATAGCTCTTTCAATGTAGCAAGGTTCCTCTTTCCTAGATTAGAGCTTTGTACACTCTCAAACAAGATTTTCTCAACCAACTTTATGAGCTGATACATTGCTATCTTCAAAATATTGGACAAATTAAATCCAAACCAAATCCCTTTATTGTCACTGCACTATATGCACAAAGTTAAAATCATGGATGCACTCAAAAAAATATTATGTCTAAACATAAGATGTGTATTTGAATTGCATATAAAATTTCCATCCATTTCAATTTCATAGTTTTAACATAAACAAATGAATAATCTGAATGTGATTCATATTTTTCAGTCAAATATAAATGAAACCGATAAGATATGTGTAATTGTATTAATAAGCTGAATGTGATTCAATCACTGAAGAAAAGAGAAGCACAAGAACTACAACTGGCTTGCAGCCACAGCCTTAGATAAAATCAACTGAAGATGAAAGAAGACATTACATCTCTCGAGATCTCAGCAGAGGAGGATTAAACAACTCCACAAACAGCATTACCAGCTTCACTTATTACTAACCAGAATTACTTTATTTATGTAATTTCCATTTTAATGAAAACAATAGTTTTATTTTAAGTCACCATGATGGTGGTCAGTGTTTGCATTAGTTGGGCTCTTGACCCTTGTCTCTTTAATATTAGATTTTTTTCTGGCTGCTGTAATTGTGTGTTTATAAAGCATATTTGTTGTGGCAAAAAAAAAAAAAAAGCCAAGAGAAAATGTGGTCAGGTGATGTTGGCTGTTTATTGATGATGACATGATCATCATGTTGTGGCCTGAATCCCTGATCCCATTCAGTGTCTAATGCTTTGATTATATACACTCACCGGCCACTTTATTAGGTACACCTGTCCAACTGCTTGTTAACACTTAATTTCTAAGCAGCCAATCACATGGCGGCAACTCAGTGCATTTAGGCATGTAGACATGGTCAAGACAATCTCCTGCAGTTCAAACCGAGCATCAGTATGGGGAAGAAAGTTGATTTGAGTGACTTTGAACGTGGCATGATTGTTGGTGCCAGAAGGGCTGGTCTGAGTATTTCAGAAACTGCTAATCTACTGGGATTTTCACGCACAACCATCTCTAGGGTTTACAGAGAATGGTCCGAAAAAGAAAAAACATCCAGTGAGCGGCAGTTCTGTGGGCGGAAATGCCTTGTTGATGCCAGAGGTCAGAGGAGAATGGCCAGACTGGTTCGAGCTGATAGAAGGGCAACAGTGACTGAAATAACCACTCGTTACAACCGAGGTATGCAGCAAAGCATTTGTGAAGCCACAACACGCACAACCTTGAGGCGGATGGGCTACAACAGCAGAAGACTCCACCGGGTACCACTCATCTCCACTACAAATAGGAAAAAGAGGCTACAATTTGCAAGAGCTCACCAAAATTGAACAGTTGAAGACTGGAAAAATGTTGCCTGGTCTGATGAGTCTCGATTTCTGTTGAGACATTCAGATGTTAGAGTCAGAATTTGGCGTAAACAGAATGAGAACATGGAACCATCATGCCTTGTTACCACTGTGCAGGCTGCTGGTGGTGGTGTAATGGTGTGGGGGATGTTTTCCTGGCACACTTTAGGCCCCTTAGTGCCAATTGGGCATCGTTTAAATGCCACGGCCTACCTGAGCATTGTTTCTGACCATGTCCATCCCTTTATGGCCACCATGTACCCATCCTCTGATGGCTACTTCCACCATGTCACAAAGCTCTAATCATTTCAAATTGGTTTCTTGAACATGACAATGAGTTCACTGTACTAAAATGGCCTCCACAGTCACCAGATCTCAACCCAATAGAGCATCTTTGGGACGTGGTGGAACGGGAGATTCGCATCATGGATGTGTAGCCGACAAATCTGCGGCAACTGTGTGATGCCATCATGTCAATATGGACCAAACTCCCTGAGGAATGCTTCCAGCACCTTGTTGAATCTATGCCACGAAGAATTGAGGCAGTTCTGAAGGCAAAAGGGGGTCCAACCCGTTACTAGCATGGGGTACCTAATAAAGTGGCCGGTGAGTGTAGGTTATGTGTTAATAATTTTGTTTTATTCATAATAGTAGCCATTTTGATTCTACAGCATGAGATCTAGCAGTATTGTGTTTATCAAATAATATGCTGGTTATTATAAATATTTAGTGCACAAAAACTTTTCATCTATGGCATTACCAGTGTTGTGTGTAACGCGTTACAAAGTAACGTAACTACTTTTTCGGGTAAAAAGTAGTGTAACGCGCTACTACTGAAAATTTGGTAACGAAACGTAGTTCCTTTTTCAATTCGGCGCAACGTTACTTTCCCCAGGGACAGATTATCTGTCCCTGGGATTTGACAGCGATCTCCGTCATTTGATAGATTTGACCGCGATCGCCATCTCCGTAGTGAACGCCCCAGAGAGAAATGCACATAATGGATTACATAATCAGAGAGTAGCCTATTTCTTTTCGTTTTGAATTGTTTCGTTTAAAGACATTTCAAGCTTAAATTATATACCTTGAGTTTCGGTTAATTTATGATGAGATGCTCCAGTTCACGTGCAATGCAAGTGACCACGCCGGCGCTTCCATGATTATATTGTCTTCTAATAGTTGCTTATTTATTAAATCCAGGCATTTGGTTGATAAAAAAATTGATTAAAATTAAGATACAATTTATACAAAACGAAATTCGCTTTAAAGAAAGGCTTTCTTCAAAACAAAACTTAATGAAGTGGTCAAAATCATGTCTGATTGACTCAATGTCTCCCGATATATTGCGCATCCATCTTACTCGCGCTGTTCACTTTTCATAATCAGCATAGATGGAAAAAAAATAACATTATAATATTTTAACAAATATGAAACTAAATGCGCTTATTTAATGGGTACAACACGTAGGCTATAGTAGGTCTACAGACTCTCTATTTGTATATTGCTGCACATTCATTTAATTCTGAATTTTGCACACATAAGTTGAAAGGCATTTGTTTACGTGCATAGTAGAACATATGCATTTATTAATCATTATGATACTAAAATCATAATAAAGTAGGCTATAGCCTACTATGTACAAAAAATCAGATGAGCCCAGAATATGAACGCAACGTGTTTACTTACACGTTAAGCATTTTCCTCCCATAGAAAACCATTATAAGAACGCTTAATTTGGCTTAATGCAGATTAGAATGTCCCCGTATTATGTCTAAATAACAAGATAAGTTTTCTTTTTTCTTCTTCACCATGCGGTTCAGGACTTCCATAGAATACAGCCTGAATATAATTACTTCCAGAAATGATTTTTGGGGGTGCTAACGGGGTGCTTTGGTCTTTCTTGGGGGCTTTCTTTCTAGCCCCTCCCTAGCGCCGCCCATGCATATGCCTATCCATTAACCGGCATTTCTTCATAAATATTAAAATTTTTGATAAATGCATTATGCATTTATGGCATTATATATGGCATTATGCATAGTAGAATTTTATGTAGGCCTACACATTTAGGAACAGATATTGGGTTCTGCCCAAAGTCAAGCAACATAAAAGTAACGTAAAAGTAACGAGTAACGTAAAAAGTTACTTTCTATATGGGGTAACTAAGTAAAGTAACGGATTACTTTTTTAAAGAAGTAATGAGTAACGAGTTACACTACTTTTTAAAAGTAACTTCCCCAACACTGGGCATTACTAGACACACACAGACATCAAGAAACAGCATAAGAATCTCAACAATGGTGACAATCAAACAAAATATCCAGGTAAACAGATCAACTCTGAGCATAAAACAAGCTACTAAAAATCCAGCTGCATAATTTATTAATTCTGCAATGCATGCTGGGAGCCATGGGTGAATTTTGATTGGTGGTACCCAACATGCACTGTAGCATGAAGCATTTCATTGATTGTCACCATTTCCGAGAGTCATTCGCTAATTATTGATGTCTAAGTAATAATGTAGAATAGATGAAAACATTTAATGCACAATTTTTTTTTGAAATTCTTATATTATTTGATTAACACTGTTGGATCTCA